TATAAGCAAAGTACCCATTGTTGCTTGAATTGTGTTAAAATAAATGATTTTCAAAATGAGTGCTGTCTACGCGTCTCGTTTCGAAGCAATGTTCTTGTGTTCTCATTCAAAAGGGCCAAAAATGTCCCAATCCGCTACGGCTAAATATATAGGAAAATCAAGGTCGTTCGTCCATAAATGAGTGCAACGTTATTTAGAGACAAAAACCGTGGACGATTTACCGGAACGTGGCACGACACGGATATATACCGACAAAGATGAAAAAACAGTCGTGCAGCTGTTTCAAAGCAATAGCACGTTGTCTCTGCGTCAAAGACAGGCAAAATTATAACGAAAAGACTTAATAATGTCGTGTGAAACCATACGATGTTATCTCCATGCTTATGACATAAGATGTCGTAGTACAATCCAAAAATCATTATTATCGGAAAAGCACATCAGCGCGCGACTAGCTTGAGCTCATGAAAATAAAGACCGCCACTGGAGTAATGTGATTTTTACAGACGAATCTTCTTTTTAGGCACATTGTGCTGGGGGTCTATTCTTGAAAAGAAACGTATACGAAAAATTAGGAAAATACTATAGTATACGTTACGTATACTATAGTATTTCCCTAGACTTTCGTATACGTTTCTTTTCAAGAATAGAGCCCCTGGTCTACTGCCACCAATAGACTAGTCCAACGAACTATTAAACACGCGGTAAAGGTGCATGTTTGGGGCTGCTTCTCAGAGCAAGGATTTGGTCGACTTTATCTCTTTATTGACATGAAATGTTGAGAAAATGTTAAAAATATACTAAAAAGCTTTGTTTTCGTCTGCCCAACGTAGGTTTATCAGTAAAGATAAAAATTAGTTACTCCAGGAGAATGACCCCAAATACCGAAGCGGGCTTTGCACGTCCTGGAAAAAGGGAAATGACATCGAGACATTCCACTGGCCTTCACAATCACCCGATGCGAATTCCATTGAAAATGTGTGGTCACTCATCAAAAGAAAGCTTTGTGGAAGACCGACATCAACTTCGAAGTGCTTAAAAAACTAAATTCGACGAATCTGGAGGTCTTTACCACGTGAATATGCGATTTTTTTAGTGGAAAGTATGCCTTGGAAGTGTCAGTCTATTGCAGACGCAGCTGGTGACTGGACTCCTTATTAATATAATTGCATTTTGGTCATAATCCTATTGAATACAATCAATATAAATTTAAGGCTAATAAGCCATTTTTCTTTGAGATAGGTCTGCCACGTTCTTACTAGACAGACTGTATAACGAGCAAACAGTGAGTATGGTTTGACTTTACGCGAGAAATACTTGACAGAAGATAAAAGAAAGAGTACCTGTTGGCGTGTAAATATAGATGATAAGGTGCAAGTATCTAATTCGCGGAAGAAGAACAAGATCGCGTCGTCGAAAAATAAAAGGGAGTAAGAAGACGTACGAATGTAACATGGGACTTCTTTAAAGAGATTTTCTAGCTTAATAGAGTAGAGGTGAGTCATGTGACTTTTCTTATTTTGATTACGAGAACATAAACTATAAAGGATGCAAAAATATCACTGCCATTTTCTAAAAAATAAATAACGAATAAAATTTAAGTAATAAAACTGTTACATGTTATTAAAAAATATTTTCTTTATATTATACATAAGAGAATAGTCTAAATCGGACCTGTTTGCAGTTATTGTTCTCTACAAGGCGTAAATAAAGTCAGATCATAAAACCAATGGTGCCGTTCGAAAGATCATTTAATTTCCTTCATTTTTACTTCATTTTAACGTATCTCTTATCCTGTGTCAAACTATAATGGAAAATGTAAAAATGCATTTTCCGTTCTGATTTGGAACTCATAGTTCAAAATCGGACCTCTCCTATTTTCATTAACTTTTAGATATAATTTTAATTAAATTTTCTTAGTATTGAGTAAAAACAAGCAATTTAAAATTCCAAAATGAAAATACAATTTATATTATTAGAATATGTTAGTATGGTATTATTCATCATAAACATATATTAATTATTAGAATTAAAATCAATAAAAAATTCCATCAATCTGACAAGGAGATGGCACGAATTGCGAAATATGATTTGGAATGTAACCTATAGTGGAATCAAATTAGACAGCCAACGAGCGTTATCTCGGAACCGGTTCAACCCACTCGGATTTCTCTGGATTTTTTTTTATAGGTCAAAAATTACAAATACTAAAACCTTTATAGGTTAGAAATTGCCGCTTTTTACAAGAAAATTTTAAAAAGTTGAAAAAAACAAATTTTACGATAAGTGTATTTTTTACACGCTATTTTAGATTGTAATATTTGTAAACTATAAATAAGTTTTCACGAGAAGTTTAGAAGTAAAAAAATATCATTGTATTTCAAAATATAAATTACATATAAGGTTCTTTAAACATTTTCCTCGTTTTCTAATTCATTCTCTTCCAATGTAATAGGCGCGCAGTTGGTGCAGTTTTGGCCGTTACAATGAAAGCACGCTTCGGTGCAAAATAATCCTGTTTTTCTGCAGCCACAGTTTCCGGCGCATCCTGATTTGCATTTACAAAAAATAATTTTCAATAAATCCTGAGGAGCTGGTTCTTGATTCATCGGAATCGCTAGACCAACTTGAAGAGATGATAGAAAACTACGAGGACGTACCGCGGACATGATGGAATGACATATAACACTACATTTGATTTTGTATGCACTTTCATTAACCCTTTTCTTCTTTTTATCTTTCATGATAACTTCTTGTACAAAGTACGACAAAGTTTGGGGTATGGCTGCATCTACATCGTGAAATAATGTATCACTTGCAGAGTAAAAATTGACCTCACAAGGGACTGAGCGAATATCAGAACGAATAATGTCAGCAGCGGCTTTCAAGATTCGTAATTTCTCCTCATCTTCATTTAATGATCTATCCTCGTACCATTGTTTAGATAGAACATCATGTTCTTTATCTCTAAAACATATTATAGTCGAGTATGACGACTGACACGAAATTACTATATTGTTTCCATATTTTCTTTTTAATCTCGAAACGATTGTTTTATTATCTGGAACATGGCCTGTTACATTACTTTTAAGCTCTTCCAATGTGAACTGGCAATCATCATTTTGCTCCATAAATTGAAAAATGGAGTCCATAGCCTCATCAACTAATGCGACTTGCTTATGCGTTTTCAATTCCCTATTATCTTCAGGTACATAGTTGCGTAACTGCAGTAAACAATTTTTATGGTAAACAGCATTTTTTGATACCAAATCCGGAACACCTGTGATTCTTTTAAAAATCTCTCTGCTGTAGTCATCTCTGCGATCCTTTATTAATTCGAAAACACTGTCTTTCAAATTATTCGTTATGACATTGCTGATTATTGGGCGTTTAGATTTCTTTAACTTTGTATCAACTGCAACATTGCCACAAATAAAACAATTGTTTATCCAATTAAAAGCATCGACTGATTTTCTCAATTTCTTCTTCGGAGGACTGAGCTGCACTTTGGTGTCATGCTGTTTTTTCGCACTTTTAATATATTGTTTGTGAATATATTTTTGACGACAAGTTTCGTGAACGAAAACAAATTCAGCTTTCTTTAAACTTGGCAACAAACCGTCATTTCTTTCGACCGAAGCGTCAATTAATGTTCGTAACCCCCTTGTCACTTTGCAGATCACTTCACAAGGGTTATATTCATTGCAAATGAAGCAAATATCTGATTCATTCACTTGCGAGGGCCCAGCCTCCTCCATACTTTATGAAGATCTAAAAAAAAAGGAGTATTGACTTATAAATACGTTATATAAAAAGTGTTAATATTTGCTGTTATCAGTAAGTCTCTCTAAGAATTTGTTCATGCATATTAAATATTGTAATATAAATGGTAAATCTTTCAATTAAATTGAAATATATCATATTAATCGTTCTCACGCAATACAATGAACTATTGAATAAGAAAGGTGGATATTAGATAATGAAATGTCTGTTTCTACATTAAGAATTGTTTACATTTTATTACTACTAGTAAATTTAATCAATATTAATAACATAGTATGTGTAGTGTGTATATATACAAAATTTTTTAAAACTTTTTATGATCTGTCACGCTTGTTGATAACTTTTAATTGTTAATTATACAATCGACTCAATTTAATTAATAAATTACCAGTGACCTTACGATTCTGACAAACAGTCCTGTATCATTACTATCATTATATCAATAAATACATTTCATCAATGTTTCTCTACAGATTTCCGCTTCTATATACTATTTTAATCATTTACTTATTATTTCTTTTAAATTAGTAGTTTTAAAATAAAATTGCAAATAAGATATCATGAAATCATTACCTTCGTATTGTACGGGTTTGAATTGTCCTCTTTGAATACTTCAGTTAAGACACTTCTGCTGTCAACACTTTTCTTATAACGTATTTCTGTTAGAATATTCACATTACTTCGTATTTCTAAATTGCCTCGACCACTGTCAAAGTGAAACTGAAGACATAACCTAACACCAAATATGCGACTATCTGCGAAACTCGACCATGCGTCAGAGCGACCCGAAACCAACGACATATACATATATCTAGACCAAGCATTCTCATACTTTTTTGGTGGTGGGGGTGAAGCCGGAAGTTGGCAGAATACGACTGAGAGAGATAGTTCGTTTGGATTCTTAAGGTACTTTTTCATACGCAGCACGCTGCAGCAGCAATTCGTTACTATTGGTTGTATGTAAGCTAGATGACGCACTTCCGGCGCAAAATACATTTTGCCGCAGTTCGTTGAAGTTGAACCGAACGAACAGCAAGCAGCAAGCGGCAAAATCGAGAAAGCGTACAATATGTCCGTCGTTTCATTATGAAAATATTATTTATTGCAATAAATATTAGGAAAATAAACGAAAAATAGCTTCGGATAAGGTACGGATACATGTTTGTAAATTAGATCATTTTATACTTTACCACAAATTAAAGAGTAAAGTGTAATCGGCAAGATGGCCGATGCTGTCACGACTTGATAGAATACGGTAACCTAGAATAAATAACCTATAATAGATACGGTAACCTATAATAACTTGTACCAATTTCAGTGTTGATTTGTGTTGAAGACAAATTAATAATGAATTGTTGCATTTGCAAAACTAAGTTTGGTGATGGACCAAACTTTCACAGGTATACGAAAATATATATATTATACTTTTGTATTTGTATTGGTTGTGTGCTCACATTAATGGTCTTTAGTATTGAATATTATATATATTTTATTTTTAATTATTGAAATTTATTACTCAATTTACAAAATTAATCTTTTAATTTAATTATAATTAATTTAAGGTTTCCAAAAATTGAGCCTCGAAGGCAACAATGGCTAACAGCAATTAATAAACATATTGAAAACTTTACACCTATTGCAAACGCACGTATATGTAGCCAGCATTTTTCAAAGGATTCTTTTCTGCTAACATGTAATGGAAAAATTTATTTAAAAGCTAATGCTGTACCTAGCATCTTTAACATGCCTGTAAAAACATATTTAAAAATTAACAAACCAGTAAGTATACAATTTTATCTTTGATTAAATAACGAATGAAAAACGTAAAAAAATCACATATTAATTGCATTTTTTTATTTTGCTCTAAAAATAGTTACGAGAATGTGACAAATTTAATATTAATTGTGAGAACTCTTCAATTGAGCCTTCAACAACGAGTAATACTTCTCACAGGTAAAATAAACACGAACTTAGCTATATTCGTATCATTTTTATTCTCCCTAATTTCAAGATATTTATTGCTTACTTGTGGACATGTTATACAGTGAAACGTTGGACATCACAGTAATAGAAAAAGAAAATATCAATGTACATCAGCAACAATCATACATAGAGAATTTAAAAACCACTATAAACATGGAAGAGAATCAAAATAATTCATACAGACAAAGTGCCTTTATTTTTAAGAAGCATACAACTAAATTTGGAATCATACAGAGGTAAAATAATAAAACATCAGTATTATATAATAATTGAATACTTTTTTGTTATTTTTCTGATTTAAATCAACGGCATATGATTTTTTCTTGCTGAATTGTTTGCATTTTAGCAAATTACTAAAATTGGATCATACAGAACTCAGAAACAGTAATAATTTATTAAAATGCAAGCAATCCAGCAAGAAAAAATGCATAGTAAAATAGTCTATGGCAGTTTATTTACGGCACTTTACATACATAATATAAATGTTTTTGTTATACATATAGTTCACCTCTTGATATTTCAACAACCACAGAGGAAATGACTTTGCAGGAAGAGCTTTGTAAAGAAAGAAAGATTAATGCAAAATTAAAAAAAAAAATAAAAATCTTGCAACAAAGGAACAGACGAATACAAAAAAGAATAACATCTATGTCATTACTTTTAAAGCATTTGCAAGACAGAAAACTTTTATCAGAAGATGCTGCAGAAATGTTACAAGTAAGTTGTACAAATATCTGTCATACACATACATGATATAATGAATGAATTACAAAGAAATAAATTTTGTGTATGGAAAGCATATAGATTGATATGTAAGTATACTATATATGTGCTTTGCACATGTACTCCTTATACTAATTTTTAAAAAATGTATGGATTAATGAAGAAGATATTTTGACATTCTTAATTAACAGATGAATGTTTCAATGACGGAAAAAGAAATAATAAAGAGACACTTGAGTAAAAAAAGAAAAAGACCTTTTCCTACAGCAATTAAAACGTTTGCCGCAACGTTACAATTTTATTCCACGAAAGCCTATGAATACGTTCGGAAAACCTTCTTAAACATTTTGCTACATCCACAAACAATTAAAAAATGGTATTCATCTATTGATGCCAAACCTGGCATAACATTGGAAGCATTAAGAACAGTACAAGCAAAGATAAATGAAGCAGCAGCAGTTGAGAAAATATTATATTTTAGCTTAGTTATAGATGACATGTCGATAAAAGAAGAAATAGAAATTGAAGGTGATAAATATTATGGGTACGTAGATTTCGGAACAAATCCAGAAAACAATGATAGTATACCAAGAGCAAATCATGCTTGTGTTCTTCTCCTGGTATGTATCAATGGAAATTGGAAAATACCCGTTGCATATTATTTTATAAAATCTTTAAATGGCGCAGAAAGGGCAAATGTAATTGAACAAGTTCTTGCATCATTGCATGAAGTAG